TACATCACACTGCAGTGTCCTGAACAGAGCGTGAGAAAAACATAGAACTAGACTCCGACATAAAAGTGACTGCAGCGATCGTCCTAACAGAGGCTGGTGGAACCTGAGACTGGCCCACAGACACCCCTCCGGCCTGGAACTGAGCCCACGCCCGCGATCACCTCTCAGCCTCACAACACACGGGCCCGAGAAGGGAAGCAACACCCGTGAAGAACGCGCTTCTCAGCACGATCAACCACACAAGACCGAAAGGGCAGCCTGTGCCCCCCAAAAACCAAGCTCCAAAGGCAAGAAGGGGCAGGAAAGAAGGCTGAACGTACACGGGGAACCCAGGGAGGACGTGGGACAAGTGCTGTTACACTGAGGTGATTCCAACTCATGCCACGAAACAAAATGTAAAGTGTCAAGTGGGAAACAGGTGTGCTGTGTAAGCTACCACTCGAACCCAAACCCCCAGGCTGCAGTCAGGTGGGTCTGCATCCTGTGTGACTGCGGTCTCCTAAAAGGACCGAGGAGGCGGCAGCCGCACGGGGGACGGTGCCGCCCGGAACCAGCCCCACCAAGGCCTACCAGCAGCAGCAGAGGGAGCAGCACGGGCGGCTCCTGCCCCCAGAGCCCTCAGCAGAAGCCAATGCAGCTCACACCCTGATGTGGACCTCCCACCTCTGAACTGCAGGACAGTCCACTTCTGGTCTCCAAGCCACCCTGCTGTGGCCTTCTGTTACTGCAACGCTAGCAGCAAAGGTCCCCAACCCTGACGGGCCTGTCACAGACTACAGCGTCCCCCAAAGATAAACTGAAATCCTGACCCGCGGCCCTGTCAGCAAGGGCCTTGTGGCACAGCTGGTTTGTGCCCGACCACTAAAGAAAGGAACCTGGTGGCACAACGGTTAAGTGCTCAGCTGCTAACCAAAAGGTTTGAATCCACCGGCCGCTCCACGGAGGGATAGACCTGGTAATGTGCTCCCAGAAAGACGCCAGCCTCGGGGACCCAATGGGGCATCCGACCCTGCCCCGTAGGGTCACAACGCATCAGAATGGACTCAACGGCACCGACTGACCAACCCAAAGGCTGAGGGGTCAAACTCATCCAGCAGTGCTGCCCAAGAAAGGCCTGGTGATCACTTCCCTACAGATTACAGCCTGGGAAACCCAACGGGGCAGTTCTAGTGAGTCACATGGGGTCACTGAGTTGAATGCATTCAACAGCACCTAGCAACAAGAGCAACAAGTAATGTGAAGGTTGGGGGTTCAAACCCACCATGCGGTACCATAGCAGAAAGGCCTGGCAATCTGCTTCCCTAAAAATTACACCCAAGAAAACCCTACGTTGGGTCACCGTGAGGCAGAACCTACTCCACAGAACGACTGCTTCCCAGGCTGCCCACCCCCGCCGCCTACCCGCTCACCTTGACCGTGCGGATGTAATCCAGTGCGTTGGGCACCAGGGACTCCAGCTCGGGGAATCGCTTTGAGTACTTATCCCGGATGAACTTATGGATGATGTCTAAGGGGGACACAGAAGGGAGCAGTCCGATAAGGCAGGGCGGGCTCAGCTGGGGCCCCAACGTCCATTTCCCCAACGTCCGTTTCCCCTTCTCTCGTCAGGAACTGTACCCTGGGTGCTAGCCGGGCACACGGCCAGCCAGGCTGGAGGCTGCGTGAACCGCCTGCCCTCGACGCTGCTGTTACCATCTGCTTCTGGTGAGTTGGCCCCGGCTCACAGTGACCCGTGAGCAGAACACGTGCAGAACATGTGACTCACGTGCAGAACAGAACCGAACGCTGCGGTCCCGCGCCATCCCCAGGACTGGCTGCAGAGCGGACCACTGTGAGCAGCGGGGCTTCCCGGGCTGACTGTCAGGCCAACGGGGCTTTCCTCCCGGCCCAGCTTAGTCTGGAAGCCCCTCCGCACGGGCCAGCACTGCCCCCCTAGACGCTACGTGAGCACAAAAGCCGCTCCTCTTGTCCAACCCACCCTGTCCCAGCACTGGGACCTGCATTCTCACCAATACGAGGTTCTGGGGGCGGGACTCTGAGAAAGGCAGTGCAAGACAGCAGCCTGGGTCCCGCCCATCTCCCCTACTCGGGGACAACGGAGGGTTCAGGGAACAGCACACCATCTTGCTCGGGGATGGTGGGGAGGTCGTGGGCCACTGCCATCCCCGCCGGCCCTTCTCAGCACTCACTCAGCTCATTCTCGATCTCCACGGTCAGGTTGTTGGCATCCACAATGACCCGGTATTCGGGGGCTGCCTCTACCGGGCCCATCACTGTGAAGAGGAGACACAGCCTGGGTGTGGGTGTGAGTGTGAACCACACCCAGTCCCTCACTGGAGGGAAGGAGGGGCACAAGGGTAAAGGGGAGGACAGTGTATGCGTCCACGTGTCTCCAAACGTGCCCTAGACCAGCAGCCCCGCCTGCCTGCGACCTCTCCCTCTCCAGTCCGGCCTCCAGGCCACGCTGGGTGTGTTTATTTATTTATTTCAACGGCTTTTATTGAGATGTAATCCCGTACCATACAACCACTGATTTAAAGAGCGTACGTAACTCAACTGTTTTCTGTATATTCAGATACGCATGATTTTAGAACACTGTCATCACCACGGAGAGAAACCCCACACCCTTCAGTGGACACTGTCTCCCTGACTCGTCTCCTCCTGCACCCGGAACTAAAAGCCAAACTAAAGCAGCTGCAAGCTGCGTTGATTCCCGCTCACGACAACCCCGTGTGTCAGAGCAGAGCCGCTCCCACGGGCTTTCATGTCACAAGCAGCAAAGAAGCCCAGGGGCCCGGCAGGACGGATGGACGGGGGCGCGCAGTCACCTTCTGCAGCTTTGGCCTGCTTGCTGATGTACTCCTCGATTTTCATCATGATCTCAGCAAACTGTGCGGGCGGGAGAGCGGCGTCAGAGGCCAGGAGTCTTCGCCGAGAGCCACCGCCACCCCTCCCCGGCCGGCAGCAGCTCCAGCGTCCACCTGCACCCCTCGGGGCCCGCTCACCATCTTGCTGTCCCACAGCTTGGCGATGCTCTTGACTGAATCCCCGGACAGGTCCAGCTGTGTCTCCTCCTGCACATCCTCTATTGCTGGCTCCTCCTCTTCCTCCCCATAGCTTCCTCCTTCCTCCTCTTCAGCGGCCTCCTCCAGGTCAGCCAAGAGCTCGTCCGCCAGAGACATCCTGAGGCCTGCAGGCAGGGAAGGCAGAATCCAGTCAAACCTTGCCCCGACCAAATCCTCCCTCATTCCCAGGCATGAATTATCCCCCAGACGTCTCTGTTCCTTCTCCATCAACCTAGCACCAGGGCTCCAAACCAGTTCTTTCACCTTTGCTGAGAATTTCAATTCCACCCTCTAAAAAGCTCTGGTAGCATAGTGCCTAAGGCACTTGACTGCTAACCAGAAGGCTGGTGGTTCAAACCCACCAGCCACTCCTCGGAAGGAAGATGGGGCAATCTACTTCCATAGTGATACTGCCTCGGAAACCCAAGGAGGGGTCGCTATAAGTTGGGTCCGACTCAACAGCATGTAAGAACAAGAGTCACCCAAGGATTTTGTGAAAGTGTAGATTCTGATCCGGCATATCTGGAGTGAAAAGGAGCTCTGGAGGGGTAGTGGTTAAACATGGGGCTGCTAACCAGAAGCTCAGCAGTTCGAACCCACCAGCTGCTCCGCGCTGTGGGAGAAAGATGAGGCAGTTTCCTGTAAAGGTCTGCAGTCATGGAAACCCTACGGGGCAGCTCTACTCCGCCCCACAGAATCACGGAGTTGGAACTGGCTCCATAGCTGTGGGTTCGGGTTTGGATTTGGGGTGCAAAAGCAACTTCTAAGCAGGAGGCCGAGCTAGAATGATCCGGTTCGAAGCCCTGCCTAGCATGGAGGAAGCAGCCCGGGGGGAGTAATGGTTAAGCGTCGGGCTGCTGAGAGGTCGGGAGTTTAAAGCCATCTAGCCGCTCCGTGAGCGAAAAGACCTGGTGATCTGCTCCCGTGAAGGTGACGGCCTAGGAAACGCGACGGGGTAGTTCGACCCCGTCACGTGGGGTCGCTCGGAGTCGGAATCGACCCGAGCGCCTCTTCGCTCCCCTCTTTACTGACTCAACACCTCCTCGGCTTCAGGCGTCATGACGTGTGTATGAGATCACCTCCCGGACGACGCACCGCACACCCTGTGTGGCTACCCTAAGCCACGTCACACAGTTGTGATTCCTTAAGCGATTACGCGATTAAAGCTGCTTCTCGCGCCATAAATTAAAGGCCTACTAGGCACAGAACGATTTTTGCTGCAGCCATATCCCCAGGGCCATAACTCGCCTTTGCGCAAGTGAATTAATCAGTCTATAAGGCCCGCCATTCTCCTTCCACGCTTCCTCCCCAAGACCCAGGGGTCTGGCCTCCCGCACCCTCCCTTCATCACACCGACCTTTTTCCTCCTCGCAGCACCGGCTCCAAGAGATAAGCGTCCCAACAGCAGTCGGCGCTCACTGATGACGTTCACACCCGCGCCGTTACCGAGAGGAAAACTGCGGTCTGATTGGCCACCTCCCCGGGTCATTCCCAGCCGCGTTTGGAACAACAACTTTATTAGCAGCAGCCGCTAGGCTCAGAAGGGCTAGGGCAGGAAAGCGGAAAGGGGCTTAGCGGGCTCCCGGCCCGCCGTGGTCTGGGTCTGGTAAGTGGAGGACCGCTGTAGGCAGACGACAGGGTGTCAAGATGAGAATGAAAGCCGGTGGCAACTTAGACGACTGGTGGTGGCGTTAGCCGAGAACGCAAGGCCTCTAAGCAAGGTCTTGGGGTAGAGGAGATTGTGTGTGTGTGTGTGTGGGGGGAACGAAACCGGAAATACGGAACTACAACTCCCAGGAGGCATAGGGGTTTGGGGCCCTAGTTCTTTAACCGGGCAACGTGATGGAACAGGTAGTTTTTCGAAGGCCTTGATATAGAGGTTTGTGCCTGGGGGTTGGACCTTCCCAAGCCTGCGGCGCCGGGAGCAGTAGCGAGATGGAGCTGGAACAGAGAGAAGGGTAAGTGTCTGAGCCCTTCAGAAAAACTACGAATCCCAAGAGACGTAGGGGCTGCAAATTCACAACTTTCTGCGCTTTTTCCCCTAAGGGCTGACGGGAATTGTAGTTCAGGTAATTATCTACGCTCGTCTTATAGGGGTCTTTTAGGGACTAGAGTCTGTCCTCAAGCATTCTGGAGAAAGCCAAGGGCCCGTACTCCTAGGCCTGAGGGAGGAATAGGAAGGAGGGGCTGGGGGGGTCAGCATTCCCGGGTCCGAGGGAGGAGGAGCCGGAGATAGGGACCCCTGGGTCTGAGGAAGGAGGGACGGGGGGTCATGACTCCTGGGTTCGAGGGAGGAGGGGGTTGGGGGGGGTCATAACCCCTGGGTCCGAGGAAGGAGGGACGGGGGGTCATGACTCCTGGGTCCGAGGGAGGAGGGTTAGGGGTCAGGACTCCCCGGTCCGAGGGAGAAGGACTGGGGGGGTCAGGGATCAGGGCCTTGAATTCCCCCGGGTCCTGGGGGGAGGAAGGGTTGGGAACCCGGATTCTGTGGCTCCGGGGGAGGTGGCGGGGGCTGGGAGTCCCGGGAGCCTGAGCGCCCTGGCCCCGCAGGACCATGGCCGCCGTGGGCTTTGAGGAGTTCTCCGCGCCGCCCGGCTCGGAGCTGGCGCTGCCGCCGCTGTTTGGCGGCCACATCCTGGAGAGCGAGCTGGAAACCGAAGTGGAGTTTGTGTCCGGCGGCCTGAGCGGCTCCGGGCTGCGCGAGCGGGATGAGGAGGAGGAGGCGGCGCGGGGCCGGCGGCGGCGGCAGCGGGAGCTGAACCGCAGGAAGTACCAGGCGCTGGGCCGGCGCTGCCGCGAGATGGAGCAGGTAGGTGAGTGCGCATCCCCCGCCTGGGGGCGCCCTGGCCGGATGCCCGCCTCCCAGCCGCCAGGGTGCACACGACGGGCCTCCGGCTCTCACCTTCCGTCCTTTCGTCCCTTCTTCCTTTCTCAACCCTGTGCAAGGCCCTGGGAGAGCTGTCTTTTCTAGAAGCTTCCCTGACAGCCCAGCTCCTGCAGCTGGTGTTCTCCACCGACGCCGGGGCGCACGCATTCGCCCAAGCGGAGCTGGGGCTGGAAGCTGCAGCCTGAGCCATTACCCTAACCCCATCTAACCGCCCCTCGCAACATGCAGGCCTAGCACACCGTCCCAGGACTTCCTGGTGGAGGGTTCAGGAAGCATCTACAGATGCCTCTCCAGGAACCATGCCTGGTGCCTGACGCACAAGAGGGGTTGGGTTTTGAAAACAGGGATGAATGAGAGGGTAAGTAAAAGATTCAGTTGAGATTCATGTGGATGAAACCCAGAAAACCAAACCCCGCTGCTGAGTCCATTCTGACCCACAGCGCCCCTAGAGGACAGAGTGGAACTGCCCACAAGGTCTCCAAGGCTGTCAGTCTTTATGGGAGCAAAGCCCAAACCACACCCACTGCCATGGAGTCCATTCTGACCCACAGCGCCCCTAGAGGACAGAGTGGAACTGCCCACAGGGTCTCCAGGGCTGTCAATCTT